ATAATCACCTCAGTCCTGGAGGAGGAGGTTGTAGTGAGCCAAGATCATGCCACTGCACTCCAGCTTGGCTAAAGGCTGAGACTCTGTCTCAAAAAAAAAAAAAAAATTGGAATTCATGTGAAATATTTTATATAAACTATAAACGGTGACTCACGCCTGTAATCCCAGCACTTTGGGAGGTCAAGGCAAGCGGATCAGTTGAGGTCAGAGGATCGAGATCAGCCTGGGCAACATGGTAAAACCACATCTCTACTAAAAATACAAAAATTAGCCAGGTGTGATGGAAAGCATTGCAATCCCAGCTACTCTGCCGGCTGAGGAGGAGAATCGCTTGAACCCAGGAGGCAGAGGTTGCAGTGAGCTGAGATTACACCACTGCTCTCCAACCTGGGAAACAGAGAAAGTCTGTCTCCAAAAAAAAAAAAAAATCTATAAATATTATATAAATAAGTTAAAAAATACTTATTTTTATTAAAATCACATCCATTATATCAAAAAGCACAGTGGTTAGAACTCTGAACAACAGGAAATATCTTAAGAAATAAGATAAACTTTAAATAAGAAGGTCTTAACCTTTCTGCGGCTGAACTTTTAAAATTTAATTTAATAACCCGCAGTGGCCTTTGCACAATCCTATATCTCCTTAGTTTCCTGTACTTCATGAAAGATGTAGGAGAAATAAGTGATTATTTGAAACTGTTCAGGTTCTGAAACACGATCTGCTATCATGAATATTTCATTTCTCGAAAATATTTTCATGCTTATCCTTTTCAATAATGCCACATCATAACGCTTTATTTCATCTGCCTGTGACAGACATCATTACTAATCCTATAGAGCTGCTTGTTTCATGCCACGGTAGAGCAGCTATTGAATTTCCTACAAGATGGCAGCCAATCCTGACATTCATATGAGGAATACTGTGATAAATATATAAAGGACTATAAATAAGGCAACAAGAATTAAAATATCATAGGTTCTGAAGGTGGCATCTTAAGTGAAAGAAACTCAATAAATAACCAAAGCTAAAGGATGAAAAGGAGAAATCACCAATTAGTTTATAAATCACAATTTAATCAACTTACAGGGCCAATAAACCTAACTCTCAGATCTTGGTTTTTAATGTCATTTCTTGCCAAAAAGAATCAGGGCTTCTGGGGAAATGGCTGGTTTCAGGGCTAGATGGACAAGGTACACAATTATACCTTGCTATGCCAACTAGTAAGGAAATGCTCAAACAATGATTTTTTAAAATCTATCACAAAGGCTTAGAATTATAAACCATGAGAAAAAAAATATATTTTAACAAAAAGATAGAAAGAAATGAGGAAGAATGGAAGATTGATAGAGCAGGGTGCTGAAGACTGACTAGTAAATGAAGAGGAAATATTGGCACTGATAAGTCATCATTTTGCAACCATGACAATAAAGACCGGTTCAGGCAAGAATTAGTAATAGATGCTAAATCAAGAAGAGAAACTTCAATTAGGAGCAGGATATATGCAGGGTCTCTCAATATCTCCCCGTGGATTGTTCATTAATAGCAAGGGGATAACTAGTAATTAAAAAATAGAGAAACCAGACAGTACCCTGACCAGATAAATATTGACTGCTTCCAGATGTGATACCTGGAAAAGGAAAATCATTTATATAATATCCTGGCTAGGAATGCAAAATCTGAATCTAACTCATGAAAAAACATCAAACAAACCCCAAATGAGAAGCATTCTATTAAAAAATAAAAGAGGAAGGGCCCTGTATTCTTCAAATATATCAGTGTTATAAAACACAAAAAAGCAAGCTGAAGAACTGTTACAGATAAAAGATTAAAAGAGATTAAAGAGAAATGACAACCAAGTACAAAACATGGCTCCATACTTGATTCTGTACTGGAGAGAAACAAAAAGCAAATGATTATAAACAACATTACTAGGTACACTGACAAAATTCAAATATACGTAAGTTAAGTAACAGCAACATATTAATGTTACATTTACCAACACTGGAAATTAGGTAAATAAAATGCCTTAATATTAGGAAATTGCATTGTAATATTTAGAGGTAAAGGAAAGCAATAACACCTGCAACTTTCAAAAGATTCTAAAAAAAGAATATAAACATATATTCATTGTCTTTATACACATGCATTATCTCCGTATATTATTTCATAAATATATTCATTCTCTCTGTATATATGTATACACACACATATATGTGTGGAGAGGAGAGACAGGGAGAGAGATCACATGATAAAATCAATGGAACAAAATGTTAGCATGTTAACATTTGGTAAGCCCTAGCTTTAAAAGAATATGGGTATTCTTTGTACTACCTTTGCAACTTTGATGTAAGTTTAAAATTATTTCCAAATACAAAGCCTGAAGGGGGAAAAAGCAGGCAAACGATAAACACAAAGTTCAGCTGCTATCAGAGAGAGGAATTAGAGAAGGGAGGAACACACAGAAGAATGTGTTGACAGTGTTCTTGGTGACAGACTCATGGCTGTTCCTCTTACTGTTATGCTTATAACTACCCACGTGCTACATATATTCCTGTGCATGCAAAATATTACATTAATAAATATTACATTAGAAAGAATAAAGGAAAAAATAATGCTCTGTAAATTGTTTAAATAATTTCTTCAAAACTACAATAAGAATACAAAGAGCCCTCAGGATGCAAGCACAACAGGACATAGATGAATAGGTATTTGTGGAATAATAATCATTAATTTGTTTTTATTCCTACTGGGTTAAAAGCATAATACTATATTTAGGTCCAGTCATTTTATTATCTTCTTGCTTTCTCAATTTGGTAGTTCTTTTTTCTCAGCAAAAGGCTTTTTTAACGCAACATGTACTATAGTTAATAAGAGTTAATACACATAATTATAGTCAAATTATTGCTTACTAATGCCAGGCACTATGCTAATAAGTACTTGATATATGTTATGTCTTTTAATTTTCACAGTCACTCGTATGACATAGATCCTACTATTTTCCCTCTTTTCACGTGGGGAAAAACTGGAAACAGAAAGGTTAAGTAACTTGTCCAAGACCACACGGCTAGTATGAGTCCATATTTGAACCCAGGGAATCTCATTCTAGACCTCATACTTGTAAGCAGCAGACTCCACTGCACCTGCACCTGAGATTCTAATCTCAAATAGTTCTTACATTGGAAACATAGGTAAAATGCACACATAGTAGTTTAAAACCAGTGGATAAGCAATAAATTATAGCTATTATTTCCATTCACTATGAGCAACAAATGCTGTATATAACATAAATAAAAGTTTATCTTAGATTTGAATTCCCCTCTTCGTTTTTCCTTCTGACCACTCATGGGAAAAAAAAAAAAAAAGAATAGGTATCATTAAGTAATTAAGATGCTATCAGAGAAAAAAGGATAGAAAAACTTTTAAAATATTCTCAATATATATACACTAGATAATCCACATTTTTAAAATGCTGAATATGCTATGTGGAAAAGGCTGGTTATACTGGATACAGGAAAAAAGAGTTTTCTAGCATAATGTAGCTCTCTGACGTATTACAAGGATATGTCATTTTATGGCAACCCAGCATCCAGCCCTTTTCCTGACAGCACCCCTACTTCTTTTGGGGAAATTTTCTCTTCTATGTAGTCCTAGTGGAAGCATAAATCCAAATACATGTTCTCCATTATGGAAACCAAAGACATCTTTCAAAGGCTGCTTCTGGAAAACTCTCTGCTCACTCCAACGGTATAGGGAAGTAAACATATAACCCAAGTTCAGTCAATCAGACACATTCCCTCGAGACTTAGTGTATTAAGCAGAATCAATGCACATACCAAAGACATATTTAGTGTTTATTTATGCCAGCAACACAGCCTAACCTTTTGTTGTTGTTGTTGTTGTTGTTCCTGAAAGTTCTTGCTACCCAGACCTCCCAGATCTGCCTAATTCTTACCTATTTTAAGCACAACTCTTTAGTCTCCCCTCAATCCTGTGAGCTCTTCCCATCCCAGCTACTAGATATGTCTAACAAACTCCTTTTTTCTTTTAAGTCAATCTGTTTCCTTTACTAGTAACAACAGTAACAACAATGACAAATCTGTAAAATAAAATATAAAAGCATAAGGGGATAAAATTAAATAACCTTATTTGGCAATTCTTTGGGTGACTTTTACTCTTTTCCATTTGGTTTAGGATACTGCAGAAAGTACTAGCCAAAGTATTTAAAGAGCTAAAATCTTGTCCAGGCCTTCCATCAGCTGGCTTCAACATCTGAAGTGTGAATTCATTCTGGTCCTTATTTTTTTTTATGTGTATAGGAAAATGGTTTGGACTGCAAGTTTTGTTATATTCATAAAATATGTTTTATAGAAAAGGCCAAAGATTTTAATGACAATCCCAATACTACAGATCTTCTTTTAAGAAAGTAGCATGTAGATGACTGTTATACTATTTCTTATTCTTTTTAAATAATATTGATTTCATAGAAATGAAATGTTACACTAGTTTTTCACAAGACAAATAAGAATCAAATACTTTCAGACCATTTCCCTAAAGGGATGGAATTACATGTGTTAGAAGGTTTAGCAGTAAGAAAAAAAGTTGGAGTGAAATACTACTACCAGCAAATAGCATTTCACTTGTAAGATCCACACACAAAACAATGCATCTTCTATAAGTTTTTACATTTTATAATACCACAACATTCTCCTGAAATGTAATTCCCTCCCTGTTTTCAATGTTGTATAAATATCAGCCTTATATAAAAGTGTCAAGTTCAAAAGAATTAAAAATTTCTTTAAAAATTTCTTTAAAACCAATGATTTGTTAGACATGTTTTGCTACATTTGTATAAAATTCATTCATATAGGGAGGATCCAAGATGGCTGAATAGGAACAGCTCTGGATTGAAGTTCCCAGTGAAAACGCAGAGAGGGAATGATCACCACATTTCCAAACAAATTTTTACTGCCCACAGACCAGGAGATTCCTGGATGGAAAAGCACCACGAGTCTCCAGCGTGGATGTTAAAGTCAGCGCAGCGGGTCTCCACACAAAAACTCACACAAATCTGGATGCCGATTCAACTGGCAACTGGAACACCTGAGAGACAGAATTGCCTGTTCAACTGAAAAAAGTGGGCTGAAACAGGGGGTCAGATGATCTGGCTTAGCTGGTCCCACCCCCACAAAGACCAGCAAACTGAAACGCTCTGGATTGAGAGTTTCACAGCAAACACAGCTGGACCCAAGATGGTCCAGCTCTGTGGGGGAAAGGGTGCCCACCACTACTGAGGCAGTCTGCCATTACTGTGGCAACCCACTATTACTAAGGCAGTCCGCCATTACTGAGGCAGTCCACCATTACTAAGGCAGTTCGCCATTACTGAGGCAGGCCACCATTACTAAGGCAGTCCACCATTACCACAGCAGTGTGCCATTACCAAGGCATTCCACCATTAATGAGGCAATCTGCCATTCCCAAAGCAGTCTGCCATTACAGACACAGTCCACCATTACTGAGGAAGACCGCCATTACCAAGGCAGTTCAAACTACAACCCTATAAACAAAACTACAAGGAAGTTCACACAGCAGCTAGGCAGAGACCACGGCAGCTCAGCAACGCCTCTGCTGGCAGACTGTGACTAGGCTACCTCCTCGCTGGCCAGGGTATATTTGGAAAAAAAAAAAAAAAAAAACAGCAGAATGACAGGAACTTATAAATAAAATCCCACCTTCCCAAGATAGAGCGTCTGGGGAAAAAAGGCAGTTATGAATTCCGCTGCAGCAGACTTAAACGTACCTGACCAGTAGCTCTGAACAGAACAACGGAGTTCACAGCTCAGCACTTGAGCTCCTATAAGGGACAAATTGTCTCATCAAGCAGTTTTCCAACCCCCGTATAACCAAAGAGACACCTCATAAAGGAGAGCTCAGGCTGACATCTGGCAGGTATCCTTCTGGGACAAAGATAACAGAAGAAGAAAGTGGCAGCAACCCTTACTGCAGCCACCGCAGCTGAGACCCAAGCAAGCAGAGTCTGGAGTGGACCTCCAACAGTCCTACAGCAGGGGGGCCTGAATGTTAGAAGGAAAACTAAGAAACAGAAAGAAATAACTTCATCAGCAACAAAAAGGATGTCCACTCGGAGAACCCATCAGAAAGTCACCAGCCACAAAGACCACAGGTAGATAAATCCACAAAGATGGGAAGAAACCAGCACAAAAAGGATGAAAATAGTCAAAACCAGAACGCCTCTCCTCCTCTAAGGGATCACACTCCTTACCAGCAAGGAACAAGGCTGGATGGAGAATGAGTCTGATGAATTGATAGAAACGGGCTTCAGAAGGTGGGTAATAACAAAATTCTCTGAGCTAAAGATCATGTTCTAACCCAATGCAAAGAAATTAAGAACCTTGAAAAAGGGCTTCACGAAATGCTAATGAGAATAAACAGCTTAGAAAGGAATATAAATGAATTGATGGAGCTGAAAAACACAACACGAGAACTTCGTGAAGCATACACAAGTTTCAATAGCCGAATTGACCAAGCAGAAGAAAGGGTATCAGAGATTGAAGATCAACTCAACGAAATAAAATGAGAAGGCAAGATTAGAAAAAAAAAAAGGGGGGGGTAAAAAGGAATGAACAAAGTCTCCACAAAATATGCCATTATGTGAAAAGACCTAATCTACCTTTTATAGGTGTACCTGAATATGACGGAGAGAATGAATCCAAGCTGGAAAACACTCCTCCAGGATATTATCCAGGAGAACTTCCCTAACCTAGCAAGGCAGGCCAATATTCAAGTACTCCAAGAAATTCAGAGAACACTACAAAGATATTCCTCAAGAAGAGCAACCCCAAGGCACATAATCGTCAGATTCACCAGGGTTGAAATGAAGGAAAAAATGCTAAGGGCAGCCAGAGAGCTGATTTTTTGAAAAGATCAACAAAATAGACCACTAGGTTGATTAATAAAAAAAGAAAAGAGAGAAGAATCAAATAGAGGAAATAAATATGATAAAGGGGATATCACCACAGAGTCCACAGAAATACAAACCACCATCAGAGATTACTACAAACAACTCTATGCAAATAAACCAGTAAACCTGGAAGAAATGGATAAATTCTTGGACACTTGCACCCTCCAAAGCCTAAACCAGGAGGGAAGTTGAAACCCTGAATAAACCAATAACAAAGGCTAAAGTTGAGGCAGCAATTAATAGCTTACCAACCAAAAAAAATCCAGGTCCAGATGGGTTCACAGCCGAATTCTACCAGACATACAAAGAGGAGCTTGTACCACTCATTCTGAAACTATTACAAACAATACAAAAAGAGGGAATCTTCCCCAAATTTTTTTATGAGACCAACATCACCTGATACCAAAACCCGGCAGAGACTTAACAACTAAAGAAAACTTCAGGCTAATATCCATGACGAACATAGATGCAAAAATCTTCAATAAAATACTGGCAAACTGATTGCAACAGCACATCAAAAAGCTTATCCATCGAGATCAAGTAGGCTTCATCCTGGGGATGCAGAGCTGGTTGAACATACACAAGTCTATAAATGTAATTCACCACATAAACAGAACCAAAGACAAAAACACATGATTATCTCAATTGATACAGAGAAGGCCTTCAACAAAATTCAACAGCATTTTATGCTAAAAATTCTCCATAAACTACATGTTGATGGAACGTAACTCAAAATAATAAAAGCTATTTACAACAACCCCACAGCCAATATCATACTGAATGGGTAAAAACTGGAAGGATTCCCTTTGAAATCTGGCACTAGATAAGGATGCCCTCCCTTGCCACCCTTATTCAATACAGTATTGGAAGTTCTAGCCAGAGCAATCAGGCAAGAAAAAGAAATAAAGGGCATTCAATTAGGAAAGGAAGAAGTCAAATTGTCTCTATTTGCAGATGACATGATATTATATTAGAAGACCCCATTGTCTCAGCCCAATATCTCCTTAAACTGATCTATGTATCTACATTTCTATGCAGCCATAGGAAATGATGAGTTTGTGGGGATGAAACTGGAAGCCATCATTCTCAGCAAACTGACACAGGAACAGAGAATCAAGCACCCCATGTTCTCACTCATAGGTGGGTGTTGAACAATAAGAACACATGGACACAGGGAGGGAGCATCACACACTGGGGTCTGTCAGGGGGGACAAGCAGAGGGCCAACAGTGGGTAGGGAGTTGGGAAGGGATAACATGGGGAGAAATGCCAGATATAGGTGATGGGGATGGAGGCAGCAAACCACATTGCCATGTATGTACCTGTGCAACACTCCTGCATGTCCTTTACATGTACCTCAGAACCCAAAATGCAATAATATATATATATATATTTTAATTCATTGGCATAATTACTAAGGAATATATTCATAATAGTATTACGATTTCAATTTTCCTAAAAGGCTAAAATAAATTACTAGTGTCGAAGTCAAGCAAAATTTTGCAAACTGGCATTAACCATGGATTGGTGAGTCTAAAAAGCCAGTAGGAAATCATAGAATAAGATCAGAAGGAGTTTTAATGTTGAAACCAATACATCTATAGAAAAATATTGCTATCAATTCTTCAAAAATTAAGTCATTTTCAAAAGCCTATCAAAGCAAGATTAACAATCATTAAATCACATCTCCAAGAATAATAATTATTTAATTTTAACAGTTATGAAGCATTATCTATATTTGAAAGGCAATGAGATTTTGTTCTTCTCATGAAAGTTTTATCTTCCTAACCTAGGCTTAGATATACTATTTGTTATCACCTCCCAAAACAAGTCAAAACACAGGGAACTTCACCTATCATGGAAGTTACCATGCTAAATTCTGGATGGTAAAGAGGAAGATGAATTCGTCCTTGGTCTTAAGCACTGACAGCCATAGAATCAACTCAATATAATGTGATACATGATAGAAAACAATGGTATCTAGTATAATCTGTTAAGGAAGCAATTAATTCTGTTTAGGAGCAAAGATAAAGCTATAAAGAAAAGGTGACATATTAAACTTTTATAAAAGTAGCAAAAACTCTTATCTAGACAAAGGACTTCATCATTGGTCAGATCTGAGTTTAAATCCCAACTCATATCCCTTGTTGGTAATGTGAAGCTGAGCAAGTTGTTTAGAAACCTAGAATCTAGCCCTAGTTCTGAGGCACATGAGCCATGCCCTTAGGCAACATTTAATATCTCTCAGCTTCAATTTCCTAATCAATTAAGAGAGTCAGTGAGTCATTTTCTATGATCCTTAATTTCCCCTCCAGTAATAACATGAGTCCATACTTTATAGTAAATTAGAGAAATTCTTATTGACATTGAATGTCTTCATTTAGCAAATACCTCTAGAACACCCAATTATGTACTACTGAGCTAAGCAAGTGGAATATATCATTGAGCAAAATAAGGAAAAATCTCTCTTCTCAGGGAGATTACACAGAAAGCATTTATGGAAAAACTCTTAAAATACTTTATTGCATCCTTGTACAAACATAATTTCCCTGTGCAGTTTACATATATATTAAAAATAGCTGGGGAGGGATAACTTGGGGAGAAATGCTGGATATAGATGAAGGGAGAATGGAGGCAGCAAACCACTTGGTTATGTATGCACCTACGCGACAACCCTGTATGATCTGCACATGTACTCCAGAGCCTAAAGTACAATAAAAAAAAGTAGACACTGGAAAATTTCCAAATAACCATAAATATTAACACAGAGAAAGAAATCTAGATAGTGATGAAGTATATTTAGCAGCACTACTATCAAAATCATGTTTTTCTAAATTCACACTGAGTCAGTGAGCCTTAGCAGTTTGACAAAAAGGCAGCATGTTAATGAGAGTCCCCTAAACTAATTTAGTATAGAGCCATATTTTTTCCTCATTTAAATTATTCTGTAGTTTTTTTAAAGAACTATGATACAAATAGGTAAGTTTTATTAAAAGATAAAATCTGTACATGGTGAGAAAATATTAACACAAAAATTTATAATCTCACCTCTTTTTCAGACATTCTACTCCATACCTGGTGTTTTTCAGCCTCATTGTAGGCTATTTCATTATACAAGGTTTTGGGGTTGTTTTTTGTTTATTTGTTTGAGTTATATATTATCACTGTTTGAAAACTGATTTGTTATTCAACAGGCAGTTGTAAGACATCCATTCTCAGGCATCTCCAAAACAGAAACAAAGCCAGACTCTGCCAGGTGATGCAGGGGCTACAGAAAGGATCCATGATGAGGTAAGGCAGAATAGAATAGAGTCGCCCTCAAAATACACAGCAACTTGAGGAGAGTCAAGGCAAATCTTACAGTCTTCATGCTTAGATTCTTCTTTACTAATCCACTAATTTTTCTGCATGACTTTTCTCATTCACTCATGGTAATGTCTTCTTCATAGCTACTATAACATCCTAGATTCTACAGCCTGCCCTCTCTCAAAATGTCTGCATACTTTTGCATCTTTCTATTAATTGCATCCCTTTCTAGAAAAGATCTTACTGGGGTTGTGGTGACTTTCCAGGATAGAGTATAAAGTTCTCATGTTCAGCCTCCTTAATGGCTGTGTGCCTTCGACTGCCTTTGGATAATGGGATCACAGGATTTTCAAAAAACAAAATCTTGGTAGCATATGCCTAAGGCACCCATCAAAAGAGGACTATGGCATAGTAGGTACCATGAACTTTCTAACAAAGAGAGGCACATACTTTCTGTGGACTGTTCAGTATGTAATGATACATTATCACCATAGAGACTATATGTAGAAAGACTGAACTTAAAAGTTACTCCCACAAAGTCCATTTCTTTGACTGGCAGTCATTTTCTGTGTAATGTTCAGTATATAGTGATACAGTAACACCAGAAAGACCGTATGTACAGAGACTGAACTTAAAACTCACTCCCACAAAATTACAGCATTTCTTTAAAGGCACAGAAGTGAAGTAAACACTGACAAATATATGTGGCATATACTAAAAATTTAAAATTCTAAAAGGTGTGAAGAGGTGGGTGTAATCATATGTTTATGTAAATTAAATATGCTCAGCTTAGGAAACTATTCTTTAAAGCAAAACAAAACAAACATACAAATAAAATATTGTGAAAACACTGTTTTTAAAGCAGAGTTGGTCAGCATCAAACATGTACTTCAAAGTAGCATGTCTTAAGTTTCACAACTGGTATTCTTCAAGCTATAAAAGTCAGAATATAGTGACAAATGATGACAATTTTGGGTAAGAGAACAATCATCTTGACAAACATTTTCCAAAGTTTCAGTATTCCAATTTTATCAAGGAGAAACAGCCAGCATTACACAATTGCTAGTCTTAGGTTGTGTGCATCATGCATAAAAATTGAAAAAAATGACGAAGCAAAATATAATATGCAAAGGATAAATGCTTGAGGAAATGGATACCCCATTTTATATGATGTGATTATTATGTACTGCATACCCGTATCAAAATATCTCATGTATCCCATAAATATATACACTTGCTATGTAACCACAAAAATTAAAATAAAAAATTTTTAAAAATACAAAACATAACAAAAAAAACTTTGGAATAATACGTCCGAAATGTTGAATATTTCTATAAAATACTGGAGCCACATGAAAGAAAAGGATACTTATCTCTTTTCTCTACCCTTCAGTCAGTGGGCACGAGATAAATATTCCCTCACCCTCCACCTGCCACCTGCCAGATGCCATCGGCTGCTATCACATAACCATAAAATGAGCCACCCTACAAGGAAGCAGATACCAAGAAAGGGAGAGAAGAGAGATAGAGCTGAATGTCTATAAGCCTTCAAATGATTACTGACTTTGTCACATCTTCTGATGAGTTCTGTTTTTCTTTTTTTTAACATAAGCAAATTCTGTTTCATAAACAAAAGAAATGATGAGAGTGGTATAGGGTTGCAAGATAGAAAAGGGGATATAAACGATCTCTTTCCCTCCTGGTCTACGCGAAAGGCCATGAACATAATGTATGAGCAAGGATGATAACAAACACTAGTTTTGCACTAGCAAAACAAAACAGGGACAGAATAATATGAGCAGACATAATTCCTCATCACTTTCATTTTTCTATTTCAAGTGTCATAAATCATGGATCATATTCCTGCAAACACCCATAAAGCCTACACATTCAAGGTGAACAAGCAGGGTAAAAGTAAAACTAAAACATTGATTTAATCTGTTTTGTTACCTATTAAAGAAAGGAACCAATAAAATTGTGCAATGTTTTAATTATGGAGGATTAAGAGATGTGCCCCTACAAAATTATCCAATGTTTTCATTATAGAGGATTAAAAAACTTCCCCCGAACACTTTAAAGTGTGTAAGTGATGAAAAAAATAATTGTAGAAGAGAAAGGGATCACACACCTCCCACAGAGTGGTTGTTAAATGAGTATTTCTTAAATTTAACAGGAAATATATGAAAAAGAAGGGGGAGTATCCAAGACGGCTGAATAGGAACAGCTCTGGAGTGCAGTTATGAGAGAGAACGCAGAATGTGAGTGATCACTGTATTTCCAAATGAATTTTTACTGCCCACAGACCAGGAGATTTCCGGGCTGAAAAGGGCCACATGTTTCCTGCACAGTTGTTTCAGCCGGCACAGGAGATCTCCACACAAAAACTCAAACAAATCTGGGCGGCAGTTTCAACTGGCACCTGGAACACCTGGGAGACAGAGTCACCCATTCAACTGAAAAAAAAAGGGCTGAAACAGGGAGCCAGGTGATCTGGCTTGGCAGGTCCCACCCTCACAAAGACAATCTATCTGAAACGCTATGGACTGAGAGTTTCACAGCAAGCAAAGATAGACCCAAGATGATCCAGCTCTGTGGGGGGTAGGGCGTCCACCATTACCAAGGCATCCCACCACTAGGGAAGCAGTCTGTCATTACTGAGGCAGTCTACCATTATCGAGGCAATCTGCCATTACCAAAGCACTCCGCCATTACCGAGGCACTCTGCCATTACCAAGCCACTCCACCATTACCGAGGCAGTCCACCATTACCAAGGCAGTTCTAACTACAGGTATTGATCAACTTACGACCTATGCAACTTACGACCATTCGACTTTACGACCACAATCGCGAGCCACGACTGCTCCGCATCTGGCAGTGCAAACGTTGCCCAGCTGGGCATACGAAAGTGCAGACCAGCTTCCAGCAGCACTACCATCTCCGCGTGAACCATACATATAGCCTACTCAACTTACGACCAAACAGTGTTACCGGTCCGCGGTCCCGACCGTGGTCATAAGTCGAGCACTAGCTGTATACCTCTATAAACAAAACGACAAGAAAGTTCACACAGCAGTTGGGCAGATCCCACGGGAGCTAAGCAACCCCTCTGCTGGCACACTGTGACGAGGCTACCTTCTCACTGGGCAGGGCATCTCTGAAAAAAGGCAGCGGCATGTCAGGAAGTTATACATAAAGCCCCACCTTCCCAGGGCAGAGCATCCAGGAAAAAAAAGGCGGTTATGAGTTCCACTGCAAAAGACTTAAACGTACCTGCCCAGCAACTCTGAACAGAACAATGGAGCTCACAGCTCAGCAACTGAGCTCCTATAAGGGATAGACTGTCTCCTCAAGCAGCTCCATGACCCCCGTGTATCCAAAGAATCACCTTATAAAGGAGAGCTCAGGCTGACATCTGGCAGGTATCCTTCTGGGATGAAGATAACAGAAGAAGAAACTGGCAGCAACATTTACTGTTCTGCAGCCATCACAGGTGATCCCCATACAAGAAGGGTCTGGAGTGGACTTCCAGCAGCGGGGCCTTTTAGAAGGAAAACTAAAAAACATAAAGAAATAATTTTATCATCAAGAGAAAACACATCAACTCAGAGACCCCATCCGAAAGTCACAAACTACAAAGACCACAGGTAGATCAATCCACAAAGATGGGAAGAAACCAGGGCAAAAAGGATTAAAAACACAAAACCAGAATGCCTCTCCTCCTCCAAGGGATCACAACTCCTCACCAGCAAGGGAACAAAGCTGGATGGAGAATGAGTCTGATGAATTGGCAGAAACAGGCTTTAGAAAGTGGGTAATAATAAACTTCTATGAGCTAAAAGAGCATGTTACAATTCAATGCAAAGGAACTAAGAACCTTGAAAAAAGGTTTGATGAAACAGTAACCAGAAAAAACAGCTTAAAGAAGAATATAAATGAATTGATGGAGCTGAAAAACACAACACGAGAACTTCACAAAGCATACACAAGTTTCAATAGCCAAATCGACCAAGCAGAACAAAGGATATCAGAACTTGAATCATCTCAATGAAATAAAACAAGAAGGCAAGATTCAAGAAAAGAGAGCGAAAAGAAATTCACAAAGCCTCCAAGAAACATGGGATTACGTGAGAAGACCTAATCTACATTTGATAGATGTACCTGAGTGTGATGGAGAGAATGAATCTAAGCTGGAAAACACTCTTCAGGATATTATCCAGGATAACTTCTTCAACCTAGGAACTCAGGCTACTATTCAAGTCCAGGAAACACAGAGACCACCACAAAGATATTCCTCAAGAAGAGCAACCAAAAGCACATAATTATCAAATTCACCAGGGTTGAAATGGAGGAAAAAGTCCTAATGGCAGCCAGAGAGAAAGGTCGAGTTTATCCACAAAGGGAAGCCCATTAGACTCATAGCGGACCTCTCAGCAGAAAACCAACAAGCCAGAAGACAGTGGGGGCCACTATGCAACATCCTTAAAGAAAAGGACATTCACACTAGAATTTCATATCCAGCCAAACTAAGCTTCATAAACGAAGGGGAAATAAAATCTTTTATGAACAAGCAATTGCTGAGAGATTTCATCACCACCAGACCTGCCTTACAAGAGCTCCTACAAGATGCTCTAAACATAGAAAGAACAACCAGTACCAGCCACTCCAAAAACGTACCAAATGGTAAAGAGCATTGATACAATGAAGACACTGTTATCAACTAATGGGCAAAACAACAAGCAAGCATCAAAACAGCAGGATCAAATTCACACATAACAATATTAACTTTAAATGTAAATGAGCTAAATGCCCCAATCAAAAGACACAGACCGGCAAATTGGATAAAAAGACAAAGCCCATCAGTGTGCCATATCCAGGAAACCCATCTCATGTGCAAGGACACACATAGGCTCAAAATAAAGGGGTGGAGGAAGATTTACCAAGCAAATGGAGAACATAAAAAAGTAGGAGTTGCAATCCTAGTCTCTGATAAAGTAGAAATTAAAGCAACAAAGATCAAGAGAGACAAAGAAGGGCACTACATAATGGTAAAAGGATCAATGCAACAAGAAAGGCTACGGATCCTAAATATATACGTACCCAATACAGGAGCACCCAAATACATAAAGCAAGTTCTTAATGACCTACAAAGAGACTTAGACTTCCACACAATAATAGTGGGAGACTTTAACACTCTACTGCCAATATTAGACAGATCAATGAGACAGAAAATTAACAAGGATATCCAGGATTTAAACTAAGATCTGGACCAAGCAAACATAATAGACATTTACAAAACTCTCCACCACAAATCCACACAATATATATTGTTCTCAACACCATATCACACCTACTCTAAAATTGAACACATAATTGGAAGTAAATCACTCCTCAGTAAATGCAAGAGAACAGAATTCATAACCGTCTCTCAGACCAGAGTGTATTCAAATTAGAACTCAGGATTAAGAAACTCACTCAGAACCACACATCGTGGAAACTGAACAACTGGCTCCTGAATGTCGACTGGATAAACAATGAAATGAAAGCAGAAATAAAGATGTTCTTCAAAACCAATGAGAACGAAGACACAACGTACCAGCATCTCTGGGACACATTTAAAGCAGTCTCTGGAGGGAAATTTACAGCAATAAATGCCCACAAGAGAAGCAAGGAAAGATGTAAAATTGATAACCTATTGTCAAAATTAAAAGAGCTAGAGGAGCAAGATCAAAAAAACTCAAAAGCTAGCAGAAGACAAGAAATAACTAGGATCCGAGCAGAACTGATAGAAGGAGATAGAGACACAAGAAACACTTCAAAAAAAAATCAATAAATCCAGGAGCTGTTTTTTAAAAAGATCAACAAAATAGACCACTAGGCTGATTAATAAAAAAGAAAAGAGAGAATAAAATAGACACAATAAAAAATGATAAAGGGGATATCACCACAGAGTCCACAGAAATACAAACCACCATCAGAGATTACTACAAACAACTCTATGCACATAAACCAGTAAACCTGGAAAAAATGGATAAATTCCTGGACACTTGCACCCTCCCAAGCCTAAACCAGGAAGAAGTCAAAACCCTGAATAGACCAATAACAAGGGCAGACATTGAGGCAGCAATTAATACCTTACCAACCAAAATAAATCCAGGTCCACATGGGTGCACAGCCAAATTCTACCAGACATACAAGGAGGAGCTGGTACCACTCCTGCTGAAACTATTCCAAACAATCCAAAATGAGGGAGTCCTTCCCAAATCTTCTTATGAGACCAACATCACCCTGATACCAAAACTCGGCAGAGACTCAACAACAAAAGAAAACTTCAGGATAATATACATCGTGAACACAGATGCAAAAATCTTCAAAAAAAAAAAAAATACTGGCAAACTGATTGCAACAGCACATCAAAAAGGTTATCCATCAAGATCAAGTAGGCTTCATCCCAGGATGCAAGGCTGGTTCAACATACGCAAGTCTATAAATCTAACCCACCACATACAGAGAACCAAAGACAAAAACCACATGATTATCTCAATAGATGCAGAGAAGGCCTTCAACAAAATTCAACAGCCCTTTATGCTAAAAACTCTCAATAAACTACATATTGACAGAATGTATCTCAAAATAATAAAAGCTGTTTACAACAACCCCACAGCCAATATCATACTGAATGGGCAAAAACTGGAAGCATTCCCTTTGAAATCTGGCAGTAGAAAAGGAAGCCCTCTCTCACTACTCCTATTCAATATAGTACTGGAAGTTATAGCCAGAGCAATCAGGCAAGAAAAAGAAATAAAGGGCATTCAATTAGGAAAGGAGGAAGTCAAATTGTCTCTATTTGCAGACAACATAATAATATATTTAGAAGACCCCATCTTCTCAGCCCAAAATCTCCTTAAACTGATAAGCAACTTCAGCAAAGTCTCAGGATACAAAGTCAGTGTGAAGAAATCGCAAGCATTCCTATACACACCAATAAAAGACTTAAAGAGAGCCAAATCAAGAATGAACTGCCATTCATAATTGCTACAAAGAGAATAAAAAACCTAGGAATAACACTAACAAAGGATGTAAAGGACCTCTTCAAGGAGAACTACAAACCACTGCTCAAAGAAATAAGAGAAGATAGAAACAGATGGAAAAACATTCCATGCTCATGGTTAGACAGAATCAATATTGTGAAAATGGCCATACTGCTTAAAGTAATTTATAAATTAATGCTATCTCAATCAAGCTACCTATGACCCTCTTCACAGAACTGGAAACAACCATCATAATCTTCATATGGAACCAAAAGGGAGCCCACATAGCCAAGACAATCCTAAGCAAAAAGAACAAAGCTGGAGGCATCATGCTACCTGACTTCAAACTATACTACAAGGCTACAGTAATCAAAACAGCATGGTACTGGTACCAACACAGTGACATAGACCAATGGA